ACCACTGAGCCTTGGGCTTGCTGATCAGAAGGTCGGCGGTTCGAGTCCCCGCGACGGGGTGAGCTCCCGTTGCTCGGTCCCTGCTCCTGCCAACCTAGCAGTTCAAAAGCACGTCAAAGTGCAAGTAGATAAACAGGTACCACTCTGGCGGGAAGGTAAATGGTGCCTCGCGTGCTGCTCTGGTTCGCCAGAAGTGGCTTAGTCATGCTGGCCACATGACCCGGAAGCTGTATGCCGGCTCCCTCGGCCAATAAAGCGAGATGAGCGCCGCAACCCCAGAGTCGGCCACGACTGGACCTAACGGTCAGGGGTCCCTTTACCTTTACCTCCTGCAACGCAGGAATCACAACTAAAGAATCCCGGATCCAGAAGTCACAGGCTCTTCTTATGCCTTACAGTTCTTCCCAACTTTATTTTTTTCAAATTGCAAAAGAAGAAGAAAAGCGCCTTACATTTCCTTGGTTTTCCTAGGCAAGGGAGGCTTGGGAAAGGGGAGGAGAGGAGCCTGTTTCAAGGTGCTGTAATGTTATGCGCTCACCTTTTCTGCAGGATGTTGACCATTTCTATCAGCTTGCCCCTTTCTGCTTCAGCGGCTTGTCCCAGGGCCTTGTACTCTGCAATCTGGATCTTCACAGTTTTCATGTCCAGATTATCAGGCTCAACAATCCTAAAAAGGAGAAAAAAGAAAAAGAAAAAAAGGACCTGAGTTGGTAGGGGAGGGAGAAGGGAACCCCGATATACCAGTGTACTGGAAGAAGCAAAGATCACCAGTGTGGAAGCAATAATTCTTCAACATCCACTTTGTTGGACTGGTCATGTTGTGCGGATGCCTGATGATCGTCTTCTAAAGCAACTACTCTATTCTGAACTTTGAAATGGAAAGCATAATGCTGGTAGTCAACAAAAGAGGTTTAAAGACTCTCTCAAGGCAAATCTTAAAAAATGTAGTATAAACACCAACAACTGGGAAACACTGGCCTGCGAGCGCTCCAGTTGGAGAACAGCCTTTACCAAAGGTGTCATGGGCTTTGAAGACACTCGAACTCAGGATGCAAGGCAGAAACGTGCTAAGAGGAAGGAACGCTTGGCAAACCCTCACCGGGATCAACTCCCACCCGGAAACCAATGTCCCCAGTGTGGAAGGACGTGTGGATCCAGAATTGGCCTCCACAGTCACTTACGGACCCACTGTTAAAACTGTGTTTATGAAAGACAATCTTACTCCATGAGTGGTCGCCAAAGAAGAAGAAGAAGACAAGAGGTTCAGCCAACTCCAGATAGCTGCCACATACCTCCCAGGAGAGACAGTGGTTGGGAATGAGGTCGCCACGGAGTCCACGAGGGTGTGACCCATCTTAGACACCATCCTGGGGAAGGCAAAGAATTGCAAACATCTCAGCAACAGCCTATCTTCCAACATCTGTGCACGCTGCCACGTATCTGGGGAGCGGGAAGAAGGCTCTGAAACCCTGCCGGTTTACAGATGCTGATGCGACGTATTATAATAATAATAATAATAATAATAATAATAATAATAATAATATACTTATACCCTGCCCATCTGGCTGGGTTTCCCCAGTCGCTCTGGGCAGCTTCCAAGAAGAGATTAAAAATACATTAAAACATCCGTCATTAAAAACTAAATAGGGCTGCATTCAGGTGTCTTCTAAAAGTCAGATAGTTGCTTAGTTCCTTGACAGCTGATGGAAGGGCGTTCCACAGGGCGGGTGCCACTACCAAGAAGGCCCTTTGCCTGGTTCCCTGTAACCTCACTTCTCGCAATGAGGGAACCGCCAGAAGGCCCTCGGAGCTGGACCTCCGTGTCCAGGCAGAACGATGGGGGTGGAGACGCTCCTTCAGGTATACTGGGCTGAGGCTATACACTGACTTACACAACTTTTAGAAGACGTCTGAAGGCAGCCCTGTATAGGAAGGTTTTTAATGTTTGGTGTTATATTATGTTTTCGCATATGCTAGAAGCCGCCTAGAGTGGCTGGGGCAACCCAGTCAGGTGGGCGGGGTACAAATGATAAAATTATTATTATTAAACCAAAGCTCTTCTGATGTGATACCTACAACTTAGGGACGTGGGTAGCACTGTGGGTTAAACCACAGAGCCTAGGACTTGCCAATCAGAAGGTCGGTGGTTCGAATCCCCACGACGGGTAAGCTCCTGTTGCTCGGTCCCTGCTCCTGCCAACCTAGCAGTTCGAAAGCACGTCAAAGTGCAAGTAGATAAATAGGTACCACTCCAGCGGGAAGGTAAATGGCGTTTCTGTGCGCCAGAAGTGCCTTAGTCATGCTGGCCACATGACCCGGAAGCTGTACGCCGGCTCCCTCAGCCAATAAAGCAAAATGAGCGCTGCAACCCCAGAGTCGGCCACGACTGGACCTAATGGTCAGGGGTCCCTTTACCTTTACCTACAACTTAGTTCTCTCACTGAGGCAGAAAGCTTGCGTCTGGAATGTACCACGGCAGAGTACAGCTGGGGTAGGTGTCAAAGCAAATGCTCCTCTAGTGCAAAGGATTTATTGCACGTGAAATATAGGAACGTCAAGGCGATAACTCTCTCTGACGTGTAAGTTTTCTATGTGCAACGAAATTTGTTGGTATTAAGGACCGCCTGATCACAAAAGTCTCCAAGCAGCTGAATTGGTATATTCCCTTACACAGGATTATCTGTCTCAGTGAGAACTAGGCTAATGGACACAGCCGGTTAGAAATAAAATCTGAATTCTCCATAAATGTACTGGCTGGTGAGGCATTACACAACACACTACTGCCCTTCAGCAGAAACTAACTTTGGAACAATGCACGCAGAAGGGGTTATTCATCATCTGTTTCCTGGACTAGCAATCCCTTCTCAGACTCTGAATTATTTGTTTGTGGGATTATTAAGTGAAGGTGAGAAGAAGTAAAGGAATAGAAGACTCCCTGATTGAACTGAATTGCTAACTTCTTTGTCAGACTGAGAGAAGTCCTAGCCGCATAGATATAAAAGTCTCTGGTTTGTAAGACTGGATGGAAAGTATTAGCTCAAACGACAGAGGTGACTGTGAATAATCTGAGGCAGTATACAAAGGGGCTGAGAGATTCCCTGGAAATTCCTTGTCTGTTCAAAGGATGCTGATTTCATTCATGATAAGGATCCAGCTATCAAACCTGAGAAATAATATATCATATTTAGAGAATTGTTACTCTTGGGGGATTTTGAGCCAAGCCTTCTGAACTATTCTGCAGAAATCCAACAGGCGCCCTCTGGCAAGGAGAAACTGCACATGTCAATTTGTCTGCCTGCCTCTTTGGGGGAAAAGGTGTCAAGGTGCTATCCTGATTGTATGAACTACCCTATATATGACCCCTTGCCAACAAAGGTCCGTATAGTTCAAGCTATGGTTTTCCCAGTAGTGATGTACGGAAGTGAGAGCTGGACCATAAAGAAGGCTGATCGCTGAAGAATGGATGCTTTTGATTTTGTTGGGGGGACCCATATTTCAAGATCCGAAGGGGAATTCTGATCATCTTCTTGCTGCTGCGTTAATGTCCCAATCAGTCCAAACAAAGTTCATAATTCTATCCCATCTTATCTTGCTGTTTCCACATCACATCTTGTTCATATATTTTCTCTTTTTTCTTTATGATCTCTTCTGATAGTCTCCTTAAGCTGATAAACACCAATAGTAATAATAATCCTGTGTGAATTTTCCGTTCTTCCAATCCTCAAATCGAGATGGTTTCCATATATCATCTCCTTCATAGATAACATCACTCTTTCCATCATAGTCTCGTAAAACTGTCGCTCTTAAGTCCCACTGAGGAGTTTAACCCACAATATATAAACAGCTCTATTTCTCTCTTTCTCCTCCCAAACTCAAGACCTCCGACAGAACTTCCCAATATGGCGACGGCATTTTTAACTGCGTCATTCCAAAGCTCTTACACATTCCACACTCTTCTTAAAACGTGCTTTGGTTCGAAAGTTTATCTCCACCCAGCCTTAAATCCACAGCTTTAAGTCCTTAAAACGACATTTCTGACTCGTGAGGGGAGGGGATTCTTGTTTAATCACATAGGAAAAGAAGGGAGAGTTTTTTCCCCCTCCCCCATCAGTCATTTGCCGTACCTTGTCTTGGCGTATCTTCTCATGTTTTATTATTATCTTGTTTTGTCAGAGATCTCTTCTATTAGCAGTCTTTACTCCCCCTTCTTTCTTGAAATATGTGCATTCCTTTCATCCAAATTGTTTCTTTTGAAGTTCTTGCATCTAGTGGCGCGAATCAGGGACGGCGTGCAGGAGTGCCGAAATCCCACAGGAGGGCTTTGTGCCTAGTGCCCCCACAAATTTGGGGGTGGTATAGGGCACAGCAGGCAAGGGCCGCCCCCCCCAATCCTGGGGGGGTTAAGGAGGCTAATTACCCCCATCATAGCCTCCAAATTACCTCGTGTGGGTCGGAAAGATGTTATTGTCAGCCATCTTCCAATGCGCCCCCTAGTGGCCCCCAGATGCTTTTGAATTGTAGTGCTGGAGGAGACTCTTGAGAGTCCCATGGACTGCAAGAAGATCCAACCTCTCCATTCTGAAGGAAATCAGCCCTGAGTGCTCACTGGAAGGATAGATCCTGAAGCTGAGGCTCCAATACTTTGGCCACTTCATGAGAAGAGAAGACTCCCTGGAAAAGACCCTGATGCTGGGAAAGATTGAGGGCGCAAGGAGAAGGGGACGACAGAGGACGAGATGGTTGGACAGTGTTCTCGAAGCTACCAGCATGAGTTTGACCAAACTGCAGGAGGCAGTGGAAGATAAGAGTGCCTGTCGTGCTCTGGTCCAGGGGGTCACAAAGAGTCGGACACGACTAAACGACTAAACAACACAACATATATGACC